GAAAAGCTGAATGACCATTTGATGGACGGTTTTAAAGGGTACCAAGGGATAGTCAGAGAGAGACACCTTGGTAATAGAGAGCAAAGCCCTGCTCTCCCAAGCAAGAGATCCTTCATGGAAATTTGCAGGTAGGCGTTCAGACATTATGACTGTGGCTCAGTCTCTTGAGATGGGTAGCACAAGCAAAAAATAAACCAAAGGGAGAAACCAGTGCAGAAAAGTTACGCAGACTACCAGCAGCAATGCCAAATGGCAAAGGAAAGATGAACTCTGCACTTGTATATAACCTAAGGCCAGAGGAGTTTTGTGCTAGTTTTAGTTCACAGGCAGTCTGTAATCTAACTTCAGTCCCCTTTGTGATTTGCCTTTAAAGTTTGAGACATGTGTGAGGCCTTCAAGCATTCTTTCTAACCAACAAGTACCTCAGGCTGGCTGATCATGCCACCCCAGAATGCTTCATGTACCACTCCCCTGCAGAACTCAGGCAATTACAGTGCTCATCCTCCCATTCCCAGCATGTAGTAATATAAGTTGAATTGCAAAATACATGAAATTAGTCAGGGCCCGAAATTGCTGTTGTACACACTATTTTGTACATACTATTGTACACACATATATGGGCTCCAAACTCAGTTCTTTAGCTCTGGAATGTGTTTCAAAGGCTCCTCATTATATAGAAAACCTCAATGCTGAAGAGACTCTAAAGTCATCAGATACTACAGGACATGATAGCAACTGTCCACCAAGAGATATCTGATGGACAAAAGGTCAATGAATGATAAGCTGCTTCAGGTCTGTACTGATTTAGTGATTATTTTTAAAAAGGAAACCCCATCTCACCATTGTGCTCCTGCTGGAGCTCCTGCCGGACTCATGAACACCTGATTTCCCATTTCATCCATGCCCCCACCTCAGCAGCTCTCACATATCTACCCAAATGCAAACATTGACCATGTGTCCTTTTGTGCAATTTCCCCATTCCCAAGACTTCTCTAAGCCACTCAGGAGTTTCCCCACTTGCCTCTACTATCGCTGTTCACCCAGGAGGAAGATGTGATCAGAGTTACCTTATGCCAAGCAAACAGTCCATCAAATCATCACTTTGATATGACAACAGCCTCAGTGAAGGGCACAAAATAACATCTATTTGACAAGAACTCCTCTCCCCTCTGTCCTCAGATTATCTTACAGGCTTCCTACATCTAGTACACATATTTTCTCCCAATTTACCATCTATTTCATTAAATACATATTTATGACTGAAATACAAAGACATGCTTTTTCCTCCACATTTTAGACACATTTAGCACTCAATTGTGTTTTTTTTCTGGAAGGCAAATTGCAACACAAATATTGTTCTAGTCCCAGCAATCTGTGCTCATATGCTAATGCAAAACAGACAAAAAAAATAACAAAGGGGAATTCATGGGCTGGTGTAAGTGCAGTGGAGGTAACAAACACAGTTACACCTTGGGACCCTTGAATGGCTCCTGAGTAGCCCAGCTTATCAATTGTTTGAGATTGAACCTCAGGAAATTTAAATTAGTGTCACTACTGCCAAAAATCTCTTGCCATATCTCCAAGGAACATCACATTTATAATGACAAATCAGGGAAGAGTTCCAGCAAGAGGAATTGTATTGGCTGTAAAAGACTGAAGTAAGGAGGATTTCCTCATCCCCGAATAAGTGCTTCACTTTGACATGGCTAAGTCATGGTATGTTGGCATTATAAATCTTAGGAGACCTCCTGGAAGAAGGAAAACCAAAAAAGAAATAGTAAAATAAAGTAACAGAGTGTTTCTGAGTGTGATCTTACAGAAAGGATGACTACCAGCAGTGCCTGTACAGCCCAACAGTTCTCCTGTAGCACAGGGCTTGCAGGAAAACTGAACACTGTGGAGCTGCTACAAATATTACAGCCTGTTGTGACATGCTTACAGAGGAAATGGAGCCCAGGTACTCCAAAAGGGAAAAGATAGTAGAGCTGTAGAAAGACAAAAAGCAGACAGTAAAAACAGGAACCTGCTAGTTTTGTGCAATCCCGTTCCCAGCTGGTGACTAAAGAGGACAAAAGAAGCCTAGCACATCACAGGGAATTGCAGCTGAGCTGTACAACCATTACAAAGGGACAACCAGAAACATTCACATGAGCCAGAGGTAGCTTCAAATTGCCTATTAATTCTGGATGCCTGTCAGCAGTTATTATCAGATAGACCACAGTGACCTGGTATCTACGAAGGAGGAAAAGAAGAAATCAAATATAACCATTACTTAAAAGAAATAGCTAAAGAGTAATTTCATCACAACTTTAATCCCCTTGTGCCTTTTAGCCCTCCTTCACAACCCTGATTCCTCCTAGCAGCACTCCCCTCTCAGCTTGCTAGAGCTGTTTGTCCCTGTTCTTCCCACACCATTTCCTCCTATCCCAGCTGAAGTGACCACACTGAAAAAGGTGCAGGGTCCCCCTCTCCTAGCAGGATTGAACTGGCTGTGATCTCTTACCTGCCCCATCATTCAATGGTTTCTTGTCACCGTGTGATTCTGAAAGCTTACCTGGGTGAGCCGATTTTAAGTTATCAGTAAACAAGGAGTATCTACCTTCTGACAACCAAACCTCTGTGTACTGACAGGCACCATCCACATTTGAAATGCTGATTTGCATCTTTTTATAAACGAATTTGTTAAGGACAGGCTCCTAACCTTGTGCAGTGTGTGCTTTTGACGTGGGAGGGAGCTTTTCCTGAATATAAAAAATATTCAGCGAAAATGAATTTCAGACGTGCATGTTGCATTGCTTACAGAAATCAATTTTAAAGTGAGCCTGAAGCAGTCACAGCAAGATCTGCTGAGGGAACAGTGAAAAATGTTGAAATATTGTCCTTTTAAATAAAGGTTTGATGGGTCTTGCAATCAAAACTTTAAAACAGACCATTTTCCTTCAAGCTCTGGGTAGGGTTGTAAAAAACCCACCAAAACCCCCACGCAAACAAAAAATACCCCCCCCCAAACCACCAAAAGCCCAAACCAAACAAAACCAAACCA